TGTTAGCCAGGATGGTCTCGATCTCCTGACCTCGTGATCCGCCCGTCTCGGCCTCCCAAAGTGCTGGGATTACAGGCTTGAACCACCGCGCCCGGCCCCACCTGACTCTTTATAGAAAAAGCGTGCTGCCTCAGATCTAAGCTCACACCCCATTTTACAGATGGACAGGCTGAGGCCCAGAGTGGGAGGGGGCGCCAGGGTTCCTGTAGGTTTGCATGGGGGTGTGAGAGAGACACGGGAACAGGGAGGCAGGGTAATGAGCAGGGCCTCAATGTTGGCAGAGCTGGGTTTGAATCCCAACTCTGCTGCTGACTGGCTGTGTGATCTTAGGCCAGTCACTTGGCCTCTCTGAGCTTTGCTTTCCTCCTCTTATAAAGTGAGGCCACATTAAAGCCACCACTGCGGGCATTGAATGCTCAGAGCAGTGGAAGCTGTTATTGTTTTCAGCGGGTGTGTGTGAGAGAGAGATCGACAGGAGGGCAGGGCATCCATACTCTCTGTGCCCCTGGGCAGGGAGCCCTCCTGGGCATCCAGGCCCTGGGCTAAGGGGCTGGTCTCCACCCAAGGGCCAGGTTCCCATGGGTGGTCTTATATCCGGGCTCCTTCTCAGAAACTGCGTAGGGAGTGGGTGCACCTCAGCTTCCCTCGAGGGTCCAGGACACTTGTCCCAGCGTCCCATGCAGTGCCTGGAGCAGGGTGGCCCCTGGACTCTGAGAATTGTCTTATGCCCAAGCAGTCTGGTCCCGCAGGGGCCTGGACCCTTGGACACTCGGACCCAGGGTTGGTGCCAGCTCCTATCCACTGAGGGAGGGGGGCGACTCTGGCCAAGTCATATAACCTTTCTGAGCCTCAGTTTCCCCCTCTGCAAAATGTGCAGACATGGATGGCATCACCTGCCGTGTAGGAAGGACTGAGTGAGATGGAGGATGAGAAAGTGACTTGAAACCACAAATGTGAAAGAACGGGTAGCCACAGCCAGGGGGAGGGAAGGACAGGGCAGCGATGATGCCCAGCTGGAGTGACTCCAGCCACAGCATGCCAGGCACCAGGCTCTGTGCTGGCTGCTTTAGTGCTGCACCTCATTTCATCTCGTGGGGTGGGAGGGGTTGTGACAAGGGGGAACTGAGGCTCTGGCCGGAACAGGGTCCCTTGACTGAACTGGGATTGGAGCCACCTCTGCACATGCTGCCTCCCAACCTTGCTTGGCCATTATGAGTCAACCCCTCTGCCCTGCCTCAGTTTCCCCACCTGTGCACTGAGCTGGATGAATCCCAAGTGGTGCTTTTTTTTTTTTTTCTTGAGACAGAGCCTCCCTCTGTCACACAGGCTGGAGTGCAGTGGCACGATCTCAGGTCACTGTAACCTCTGCCTCCCGGGTTCAAGCAATTCTTGTGCTTCAGTCTCTGAGTAGTTGGGATCACAGGTGTGCGCCACCACACCCAGCTAATTTTTGTGTTTTTAGTAGAGATGGGGTTTTGCCATGTTGGCTGGGCTGGTGTCAAATGCCTGACCTCAGGCAATCTGCCCACCTCGGCCTCCCAAAGTGCTGGGATTACATGCTTGAGCCACAGCTCCCAGCCCTGAGTGGCGGTTCTTAAGTGATGTTGGGCACGTTGGTGGGGACAGAGGGATGTACAAGCTCAGCCCTGAGGGTTGAGTCTTTCACACGAGAGTGCGTGTGTTCAGGTGAAAGACCGGAGCTCGCTCACTTTGGGGGAGTCCACGTGGGGTGTCCCAACGTCTTTTCCTGCCAGCCTTAGATTGTGCTCCATGACAATTTTGCTGGTTGGTGACATCTGAGATGTGGCTTGGGTCTGGGTTCTGGGACCCTCTCGCCTGAGTCCCCCCACGTTGATACCCCTCCTGTGGCCCCTCAGTCCCCCCTCAGGTGCAGCCAGGCCCTCGGGTTCTGAAGGTGCTGGTGGGAGAAGCCCTGGATCTGAACTGTGTGGCTGAGGGTAACCCAGAGCCCCAGCTGAACTGGTCCAAGGATGGTGTGGTTCTGCGGGGCCGCGGGCCTGAGGACTCCGTCCACTTCGCAGCCGTCAGAACCTCTGATGCCGGGAGGTACCGCTGTGAGGCCTCCAACAGCGCCGGGGTGGACGCCTGGGAGGTGGAGCTCAGGGTTCTGGGTGAGTCTCCCTGACCCCAGAACCTGCTTCTCCCCAGCTCTCACAGCCACAGCCTGGACTTGGGAGGTGCTCGTCTCTGTTCCGGGCTCTGTGCCTGCCCATTCCCTTCCTTCCTGGGACAGATAGTGCCCTGGCCCTTTCTTGGACCTTAAAGCTATCCTGTGTCCAGGAGCCTTTGTCAGCCCTTGGGTATGGACCAGGTGGTCCTCAGAGCTCCCAGCAGGGGTTCCCTGTACTCCTTCCCCTTGGGCGGTGACCTGTGGGGCCCCTGAGTACCTGGGTGGACAGAGGCACCTGAGGCAGTAACTGGGGAGTGGCACTGGCCTATGGTTGCCATCCGGACAACCATAGGCCGGTCACCTACACTCTCTGACCCCAGTAGTGTGAAGCACCTGGCGCATAGAAAGTTCTGGATCAGTGGTGCTAGCAGTTTCACTATTAGGAATTTAAAACAAGCTTGGGGCTAAGTGTGGTGGCTCATGCCTGTAATCCCAGCACTTTGGGAGGCCGAGGTGGGCGGATCGCTTGAGCCCAGGAGTTCAAGACCAGCCTGGCCAACATAGTGAAACCCCATCTCTTAAAATAAATAAATAAATAAAAGCTTGGAAAGCCACTGCTGAGAGGGACCACTCATGGCCCCTTGTGTTTGAGGGCACAGCTCAGCCTCCCCAGCCTGTGGGGCTCACCCTGGTGGCTGCTGGACTTGCCAGGAGGCTAGGGGCTGGGATTCTGGAAGGGGACGCCCTCCCCATTGGCCCTGGGTTCCTTGGAAGCAGGGGTTGAGGGGTCCCAGGCTTTGGGCTTGAGGTATGGGTGTGGCCATGTTGCCTTCTTACAGAGCCACCACACTGGGGTGCTGATGAGACCAGCGGCCTGCTGGAGCGAGTGGCCGGAGAGAACGCCAGCCTGCCGTGCCCCGCCAGAGGTGAAGCTGCGTCTGGGGTGGGCCTGGGGAGGTGGGGTGGGCTGGCCTAGGAAGGAGTCCCCACTCACGTTCCAGTGCCCTGGGTTGTGCGTGGCAGGTGGAGCCCACAGGGCACGTGCTCCTTGTCAGCAGCATGCCAGACAGTTCATCCCATTGTCAACCCCGCAGGATGGTGTTAGCATTCACTCCTTTTTATTAGGGGCAATCCAGGCCCAAAGGGGTTAAGTGACTTGCCTGAAGTCACACAGCCGGGGTGTGACTCAGAGTATGGACAAGCGTGACCCCTGCCCTGCTCCCCTGTCCCCCTCAGCATCTGGGGTGTGATCTCCGGGACTGAGGCAGCCCAGGGCCCTTGTGGGTTGGGGCTTCGTGGTCAGCCCACCTCTCCCCATGCCCCTGACTTTCCCACGGAGGATGGATTCAGTGGTTCTGGCCAAACCAGCTTTTCTGGGCTTGTCTTTGGGGCAGGAGCACAGTGCGGGGCCGATAGCCGCCTTGGGTCAGCTGCCCGGCACCGAACCCTGCCCTGGCCCTTCCTGGCTGTGTAACTCAGGACAGTTTCCATCTCCTTTCTGAGCCTCACTTTCCCTGTCTGTACAGTGAGGTTGTACCAGCCCTCTCTGTGCGGGGCTGCTGTGAGAACTCAGTGGGACCCCATGCGTGTATGGGGCTGGCACCTTAGGAGGGCTCAGGAAATGTGCCGGATGCCTGGCTTCTGCCTTTTTGTGAACCCCACGGCCCCACCCAGAAGATCCCTCCTCAGCCCCCGCCACTGCCTCAGTTGCTTCTTTCAGCGTTGGGCTCCTCCATGGCTGGGCGCGCCGCCTCCCCTCTGTGGGGCTGAGGTTCTCTGGAGGGTGCTGTCTGGTGTCTGGTAGCAAGTGGCAGGTCACCAAAGCCTGGCAGAAGCCTGGGGGGCATCTCTAGTCTCGCTTGTTCATCCGTGAGCTGCAGGGCACCCAGGAAGGCCCCGGAACAGTACTCAGGGAGAGGCAGGTAGGGATGGCACCCACCTAGGCAGGGGACAGGACCTGGGTGGGAGCTCTGAGAGCCCCTCGGGATCCCCACGCGCAGAGCTGCCCACCTGGCCACCTGCGCCCACTACCCCCCACCCCCAGGTCCCGGGCCCTTGACTATGGCGCCACCTTGTGTTGGTCTCTGCTAACAGCAAGCAGCCGTTCTGAGCTTTTGGGAGGTGGGAGATAGTGGAAGGTGGGACCCACCCAGCTCCAGGACTCCTGCCCTGTCTGTGTCCCCTGACTGCCACATGCAGCCTTGATCAGTCAGGGGCCAGCCCTGAGCCTGCCAGCTTCACCCAAATCCCCTCTGATAGCACTGCCTCTCCCCACCGGTCCTGCCGCCTGGGCTGCCCCTGGCCTCCTTCCCGGTCAGGAGGGCCCTGTTTCACAGCCCTGTGGCCTTGGGCTCGGAGCGCTCTTAGGGCTACAGGGATGGGACTGAGCCCAGCACCCTCATGGGGACTCCCTGGGCCCTACAGTGACACCATCTGCCTCTTCCTCGTGGGGGTGGGGTGGGGCGTGAAGGCCCAGAGCCTAGACACCCACTTGGTGGTGTGTGTGTGGTGTGTGTGGTGTGTTTGTGG